CGCTATGAGTCAGAACTGACTTGATGGCACCAACAACAACAACAATAATTTGACTGTCACGGTGAGGCGATGACTATAAGCAGTTGCCAAACTTTACAGAGAACTTTACAATAAAAGAGATGAATTACGGTGTATGAAAACTATTTGTCAACAAGTCAGACTTACAGAAACATACACACTCAGAGGAACCACCCAGGTAAACATCCTACCTTTTGGTTACCAGCTAAATGCAACCTCTTGGAACCACCCAGGAACCTTGATAAATAAATTTAAACTTGTTTCCTAAATATGTAACACAACCAGAAAAACTAGTAAACTTTTGCTGAAGGTTGGTTAACTGCTTTTAAATTATTGTATTAAATCTAAATTTCAGGATTTCAGGTTGCTTTTCAACTCTAATCCATGTCTACTCTCAAAGTAATGTTCTGAGGACAGACTATTCACCAATCTGACCTAATTTTATAAACATATGAATTAATATTTTATAGTCTGGCTTATGAATACATTTTCCCAAAGGACATAAAAAACTTAGGCACAAAATATAAGTATATGATAAAAGAAATATGATACCAAATATTAATAGCACCTCCACTGTTCTTTCTTTTGTGCCAAAGGCTCTAAAATGAAATCTGTTTGCATGAAACACAAATAGCCCCCACTAGATGAAATCGTTTAAGCGGATTTTTTTCCCTGAAAAAATATATAAATGCATGTATATATATATATAGTTTCTGTTAAGTACAATCAAGACAGTTCCAACTCATAGCAACCCTGTAAAAGGTTTTCTAAGGAACAGCTGGTGAGCTTGAACCACCAAACTTGTGGTTCATTCAAATCGACTTTGCAGTCCAAGACATTAATTTACAGCTACACACCAAGATTATACATAAATATATATATATAATAGACTCACTTGTTTAGTCTGTTTTTAGATTATATTTACATATTACAACAAAACATATTAAATGCCTCAGTTCTTCGAAGTAGTTGAGAATTTAATTTCAGAACGTAAGAATATAAGTAAAGTGACTTAAACCCAAAGATTATTTTGCAGAAGGAACAACCAATATTACAGGCAAGTCAAGTCTTCCTTCATGCAACAAAAGCAAAATACTTGGAAGTCAAAAGTAAGCCAGATGAAGTTATCAGTGTAGTAGCTGGGAGAAAATTGAACAATACTTTACGAACCCAAATATGAGTCACATTCATCTACAAGGGAAAAAGTTTCTATGTCATAGAGCACAATTTTAGTACAATCAAAGTATACTTTATATCAACTTGAGCAGCAGTTAATAACGCTTAGTGATTTCCTACAGGAAACTTTTAATTGATGTTTTCGGGTCATTGACTTTTCTCCGGTTTCTACTCAATGAGGCAATGCAGTTGATTCGACCTCATGCTTTGGAGTCATACACCCAGGATTAAAACTAGTGTAAAGTGTGCCGTTGGGTAAATTACTTAATAGTTCTTTACGTTCCTCATCTGTAATATGGTTATGAAAATCATAAGTATATAGTGGAACTCAATGAGATAATCCATGCCAAGTCATTGCACAAAACTTGGCCTATTATAAACTATTATAAACTATTATAAAACTTTGCACAAAACTTGGCCTTTTATAAACTATTATAAACGAAATAGCTATTATTGCTATCATTAGCTGATGTTGAGTCTTTGACTCATGGCAATTCCATGCACAAGAGAACAAAATGATGTTTGGTCCTTCACCAATCACATGATTGGTTGTGGATGAGACTGTTGGGATCTACAGGGTTTCCACTGGCTGATTTTCAGAAGTACATCCCCAAATCTTTCAACCTAGCCATATTAATCTGGAAGTTCCACTGAAACCTGCTCAGCATCAAGCCACCACAGACAGATGGGTGGTAGCCATGCATGAGGGATTGGCTGGAAACATTACCTGGGATTCCTGTATGGAATTATACCACTAAACCACCTTTGTCCCAATGGCTACTATTGTTGTTGTTATTGTTGTTAAGGTGTCAGGTCGGTTCTGACGCATATCAATCCTGTAAAGCCTTTCCAAGGCTGTAAACCTTTCTTGTGAGGAGCAGTTGGTGGGTCAACCTTTTGGTTTGTAGTCTAGTACTTATCCTACAGAGCCACTGTGGTCCCCATAGCTACTATTATTACTAATCCTTAAATTACCAATCTTTGGTTTCCATAAAGAATGACTGAACAAGAATCCATTAAAATATTACTTCTTCTATGATCCTCCCAGACTTCTTCCAGCAAGAAATAAAATTATATTTAAATTCAGGAAGTTATCTGTCCTACTTTCCTGACCTGACCACTTGTTGTTGTTAGGTGCCATCAAGTCAGTATCAATTCATAGCGACCTTATGCACAGCAGAATGAAACAATGCTCGATCCTGGGCCAACCTCACTATCGTTGCCATTTTGCCTATCCATCTCGCTGGGGGTCTTCCTCTTTTCTCTGACCTTCCACCTTACCAAACATGATACCCTTCTCCAGTGACTGGTCCCTCCTGACAATATGTCTGAAGTATGAGAGCTGACGTTTGGCCATCCTGGCCTCCAAGTAGCTTCCTAAATGGTTCTGGTAGTAGTGGTGGTGGTAGTATGCTGTGGAGTCAGTTCTGACTCATAGAGACCCTGTATAGGGTTTCCAAGACTGTGAATCTCTATGGGAGCAGAAAACCTCACCTTTCTCCTATGGAATGTCTGTCTAGTAGTTTCGAACTGCTGACCTTTCAGGCTAGCAGTCTGAGTCATAACCATTATGCTATCGGGATGCTGTTTCATTCATTTTTGTAAAACTTTTCAACAATTAACATTGTCTCCCATAGAATATGCTGCTGCTGTTGTTAAAGTGCCATCGAGTGTGTTCCAACCCTTAATGACCCTGGAAAGAATTTCTGAGGCTTTAAATTTTCACAGGAGCAGAAATTTTCATCTTTCTCCCACGAACTGCAGAACTTGTAGTTCGTAGTCCAGTGCTCATCATATGGAGCCACCACACTCCCTCCACAGGACATAAAAGACATCATGACGAAGAAACAGTTATGGAACTAGACAAAGGGAAAGAGCTGAGTTCTAAAGATAAAGTAAAGGGCAGTTGGATGAGGAGCTAGGAAGAATGGGAAGAACATGGGCACTCTATCGAAAGCCTCAAGAATATATGACCTTGCCCACTATTTTCTTCAAGTCACAAAATGTTCCTCTGCTTCCACATTGAAAAATTTCCCTACACAACTGCATGTTTCCACTTTCCACTATTCAACTTGTTTCTCAAGAAAACAATAAATTTTCAGCTCTTTTTCTCTATACTTACTTCCTATAGGAAGGAGCTCTGGTAGCGTAGTGGATTACAAGATGAGCTGCTAACCTCAAGGTCAGCAGTAAGAATCTACCAGTTGCTTCACGGGAGAAAGATGAGGCTTTCTGCTGTCGTAAAGATTTATAGCCTTGGAAACCCTATGCAGGGTCGCTATGAGTCAAAACAGACTCCACAGCACACCACCACCATCACAGCCTTCTATAGGAAGTCCTGATGTGGCACTGGAGAATGAGCACTAGACCATAAGGTCAGTTGGAAATTCAAGGTTAGCCACCAGCCGCTCCTTAGAAACCCTATATAGATAGGGTCACCACATCACAACCCTCTATAACCATGACTTGAATTTTATTTCTAGCTGCAACCTGTATCTTAAGAAACAAAAAGCACTAAACATGATCTTCTCGATACATATAGGAATTGGAGCTACTGGCTTTACAGGGGCCTTAGTAGCATAGTGGGTTATGCTTTGGGCTGCTAACTGTAGGGCAGCAGTTTGAATCCACCAGCTGATCCATGGGACAGAGATGATATACTTAATGGATTAACTATGATTCAGAAGTGACTCGATGGCACACAGCGATGCAGCAGCATTGGCTTTATAATGAGATTCTTCATTTTAAAAAAGAAAGTGTTTTTTTTTTCAAATAGTTTGCCACTAATTCATTCACCTCAATCATTGAAAGCCAATTATTTTCTGAGTATTCTACTACTGTAAGAAATAGTCCTGGTGGTACAGTGGTATTCGGATGCCAACTAACAGGTCAACAGTTCAAACTCACCAGCTACTCCAGAGAGTAAGATTTTGCAATCTGCTTCTATAAACATTCAAAAGCTAACGCAGTTCTTCTACTCTGTGCTATAGGGTCTCTATGAGTCAAAACTGATTAAATGGATTCTATATGCTAGGTGTCATACTAGATGCCAAAAGAAAATATACAGATGAACCCAGACTGGACCCTAGCACAAAATTCAAAGTTAAAACCTAAATATAATAAGAAACTGAAGAATTAACCTTTGATATACATTCAACTTTTTGTGAAATAGCTAATAAAAGCTAAACAGTTGCATAGCTTCAATTTGGTTTAGAACATGAGATCATTTTTAAACAATAATAGTTTAGGGGGGAAAAAACAGAGATCATCTATGTAATACTATGTTAATTTGTTCCCTAAAAACAAGGCTTCAGTTTTTCTACAGCTGATGCCTTTCAACAGACATATGCCACATTTTTTTTCTTACAGATCTAGATGTAGCAATAATAACAATTCTCCAGGTGTTTTATTTAAGAATAATTTTTTTTTATTTAATAAATTATAGTTAGGCTAATTCAGCCTCTCAATTATTGTTGTCTTTGTTATATACACTAATTTAAATGTTAAAACATTTGAGTTTACTGTATCAAAATTGTCAAATGTTGGTAACATTAAATGAAATATAAGTAACATTAATGGCATCATTTTTCTATTTCAAAATTCATATGCAAATTAAGGTTTACCACTATGGGGAAATTCTGTATGTTAAACATATAGAGAAATAGCACAGATATAAAAGTTTCCTACAAAGATAGTTAAATTACTACAAAACTAGCAATTTGTAAAATTATTATATTTTCCAATAGTTTAATAAGCCCTGCACCTAAAAACTAAACAAGTACAATATCTTATCAGTTACAACATACCGAAGAGATTCAGCCATTCTTCTCAAGTCTTCATTCTGCTGTTTTAAGCGTTCAAGCTTTGCCAGAATCTTGGATAGTTCGCGGCTAGAGTGATCAGGGTGGTCATTATCTCGTACCAAGTGACCACCTATATAAAACAGCAAGGTCCCCCATGCAAAGAGAATGAGCATAATCCAACGCCAGGAACCAGTCCATGGCCGCATTTTCAAATTTTCACTCACTCCCCTGTCTTCCTGGAGCTCAAAGAATTGAAGACATCTTAACTTTGTTTCTAACTAGTGCAAAGGTGGCAGCCTTCTGTTGTTTTAATACATGATGTTTCAGGCAAATTATTTTTCCTTGTAGTCCTGTGGTGAATCTTTAAAAGAGGTCTTCCTGGTGGTATGAGTAGGAAGTTTTATTGTCCTGTGCTTCATAGACTTTGCATGCTGTGGAAAAAGTAAGAAATGTATTTAAATTATTTAACATATGTAAAAGAGCTTATGCTGAGATTCATGGAGTTTCAAGGAAACACAGTGGTGTTGACTCATTAACAAGCTTACAGATAACCTAAGCAGCTAAAAACAAGTAAAAAGCAAAAGCTTTAATTCTGTATACTAAATCAACCATTACATTGGGGCCCTACCAAATTAACAGATTAATTAGCTCTAAATCGGAAAGTCCTCTAAGCACAGTCATCACTTTTCCTTACTACATCATTGTATAACAGTTCACATGTGGAGATAAAAGACTGGTTTAAACCTTTTTTAAAACAATGTATTCAACTACATATTTTGAGCGCATGTTTTCATTATCTCAAACAGAAACATATTCTGTATATGAGTAAATTAGTATCTCAAAGTGCTTCAACTCAACCCCTTCCATTTCCCTCTATCTCACTACTCAGTTGCCATTATACCACTTTACTCAGCAGGTGACAGGCAAATTGTCATTTCAAAAATAAATTCCCAAATTGACATGAATATTAGCCAAGCAAAGGTTATCACAACTATTAAGTAGCTGGTAACCACTTCAAAGATCACACACAAAGGTTCAAATAGATCAAATTGGACTATTCCTTCTCAAATACATTTAAAATACCAACAATCACAACAAAGTCTAATAATTAATTAAATCTTAGTTTACCATACATTTTAAATTACAAACGCATGTGCTTTCTCAGATTTGGTTAGGGCTTCATTTTTCAATCCCCTATCTTTAAGTTAGGAGAGCAGTGACTCTGTAAGATAAGCACTGGACTTCTAACCACAATGTCTGCAGTTCTTGCCTCTCAGCCACTCTGTGGTAGAAAGATGAGGCTCTCTGCTCCTATAAAGATTTACAGCCTCAGAAACCCAAACAATCAGAGCAACTAGTTGGCACATAACAACAACAAATCTTTAAGGAAGCAAAAATCTCATCTTTCTCCTACAGAGTAGCTCTTGGGTTTAAAATACCACCTTTGAAGTACAGTGCTTATCCTATAGCGCCACCAGGGTTCCTTTGACTATATAAAGGAGAAGAGAAAAAAAGATACAAAATAGTTTCTGAATACAATATGGAATGTGGTGGGCACTATAAAAAGACACATACAATGTAAGATATACCATTTCTACATTTCTACATCACTACACTTGGTGTGGAGTCCTGTGAGTTAATGTGCTGTGAGTTAATGCGCCGGATATCAAAGTCGGTTTGAACTGCAAGGTCAGTGGTTGAAGCTCACTAGCCACTCCTTGGAAACCCTACACAGGGTTGCTATGGATCAAAACCAACTCAATGGCACTTAACAACACTTGGTGTGGTGCTGTGGATCAGCACTAGACTGTGAACCATCAACAGTTCAAACCCACCAGCTACTGCTCAGAATCCCTATGATTCGCTATGAGTTGGAATGGACTCAATGGCACTTAACAAAAGCAACAACACAGTGGCAGCAGCAATGAGTTCAAGCGTTAACTTTGATTGTGAGAATGGCACAGGACCAAGCAGTGTTTTGTTCTTCTGTGCAAAGGGTTTGCTATGAGTTGGAATAGACCCTATTGTACCTAACAACAACAAAAACACACGTACAACTCAGTGACCCTAGTAACAATCTTCAAATTGTGCTACCATTCTCACTATCCATTTATAAATTATCCCCCCACTATTGTACTGGACAACAAGGTCCATGGTTCAAATTCATGAGCCACTCATTGGAAACCCTATACAAGGTCACTATGAGTTGGAACCAACTCGAAGACACTTAACAACAATTACCTTAAACTCACTGTCCCTAAGTTTTCCATACAACCTTGTAAACTGCATTGCCAATTTGATCTCACATAAAACCATAATGATCAAAGCACCATGTAGTTTACTAATTAAGATGAGCTTCTTTTTTTGTTGTTGTTCAAAGAAGACTTAGGGGGACAGTCAATCTTGGTTTAAGATTTAAAACTTAAATATCTCAAAGTGATAGTTTCAGGGGCTCATTCAAGCTCAATGGTTCTAGGATGTTTGGATTCCATTAACAATTTATTTTTGTTCTGCATTTCCCCCTTTTATCAGGATCCTCCTACAGAATCTTTGATCAAAAATTCAGTAATGGTAGGCCAGGCACCGTCCACTTCTGATTTTATAGCAGAGACAATTAACAGGGAGGAAAGCAGATACATATTCAATTTCTTCTTCCGATTGCTGACTCTCCATCCTTTGTTGCTTCTGATATATGGAGATCAATTGCTATACCTTGAATGGCTGCTTGCTAGCTTTTAAGATCCCAGTCACTATGCAACAAATTAGGAAGTAACAATATTGAGAAGTAATATTATGCCAATTGACTGGGCTGTTCCTTAAAATTATAACCCTAAAACTTTAAACCAAGATAATAAATCCTGTGAGTTGTATGAACATGCCTAAGACGCATAGACAGATTTTTTCCCCCCTTTTTGGTAAATGTATTATACAAAAATTTGCCCATACAACATTTTCAGGTGTACAACCTTCCGTTGATAATTTGTACAACCATTATTCTTAATTGATACCAAATTTCCCATCACCAGTAACAGAATCTCACTGCATCCCAAACAATAACATTTTTTTTTTAAAACTTAAATTTCACAAGAGCATTCTTTATTGACTTACTGTTGATTCTATCTACTCCCCTAAATCCAGTTCTTTAATCTCAGATATTCCCATCTGTTACAGATTTAATTGTGCCAGTCAAAAATAGTCTCTGTAAATCCTAACCCATATACTGTGGTATTTCATTCAGTGAGGTCCACAAGTATAGTCACTGTTTTGTTAGCTGAAAAAAGGGTATTTGTAACGAGTAAGTTGGTTTTTAAAATTTTTATAATTTCTGGTATAAATTCTATCACCATATTTTCCAGCAACTGATCCTTCTTTTTTCCAACTTTTGCATTTTAATTCCCAGTAATTATCAATGCATCTCAATTGCATGTTTGATCAATTTCAGAATGCAGTTGATAAAAATTTTCAATTTCTTCATCTTTCGTGCATAAATTTAATAGTGATCATATTAATTACTCTTCTTTGTAGGCATATGAAAATTACCCTATCACAGACAGGATTGTACTTCAGGATAGATCTTGAAATGTTCCTTTTTTTCCTTTTTAAGCTTTTTTTTTGTGAATTGTGTGATAGTTTACATGGGAAAACACTGGATTTACACTCATTGAATTGTATTTTGTTTCATTGCAATGATTACAATCCCCTCAAAGCATCATCATTCAACAGTATGTGCTTCTATTCCCTCTGGGTATTTGTTTTTTGTTTTGTTTTGTTTTGTTTTTGAGGGGGGGGGGTTGGGATACACACAAAAACACTCAGGAATGTATAATCATTTAAACAACCAAAGAGGCACATTCTTCAAGCCTGCCTCCTGGCCACCAACACATAGCCTTTCTCTTTCCATGAGTCCAGAGTCTGCAGCTGCTCTATCTCTCTGTGTAATCATCTCTTCCTCCATCTCTGGTGTCACTGCTTCTCTGATTAAGGTCCCACATTCTGCTCATGCTCTTTTCCCTTGATGGTCCTAGGGTCCTCTGTTCTTAGAATGTAAAATTTACTGCTCCCCTGTTCCTGGAATGTAAAACTTACAACTCCCCCCTTTATGTTACAAAACTTCTACATTTACAGTTATGACAATCTCATTTAGCCATGATAACAATTACTCATTAATGAATTATAAAATTCTGATTCCCATCTACTTTCACCAGACCCATCTGGAGAGGATGAAAACTATTCAGTGGGGATTCTACCTTTCCCCACACACTCTGAAGCTAAAATCCCTCTTGGAAACTTGTAAGCCAGACACTTCATACCTTTATAGCCCCTTCCCCACCCTCACCCCATGTACAAAATGTGTGATTTGCCCATCCCTATCAATGTGCCACCAGTTTCTCCTTGGAAACCCTTTACAGAATCCCTATGGATCAGAATCGACTCAATGGTAGTTAAAAACAACAATCAATGCACCAGACTGCAAAGCTGTTTGAACTGCAAGGTCAGAGGTTCAAGCTCACTAGTCACTCCTTAGAAATTCTATACAGGGTCGCTATGGGTCAGAACTGACTCTACAGCACTTAACAACAACAACAAATCAGCCCTGAATACCGAAAGGAGAGGTTTGATCCTTGATGTGAAAAGTCCTTCCCCTCTCTGTTGGTATTTTAACTACTACATCCATAAATCAAGTTCAGTAAATTGTAGCAAGTTATATTTGGCTCCTTTTATCAAATTTCTTTATCTTCCTCTAGTCAAGTTCTGGTCATCAAGCCATCAAAGCTAGGTCAAATGGATACTATCTGCAAGTTTGGGCATTCTTGTGTGTCTCCCTCCACTTCATATGAGCTGGACACTTCCCTTTCACTTTTAGCCCTCTGTGGCTAGGTCAATGTCCATGGGCTTAGGAGTTTCCAAGTCTCCCCAAACTTTGAACCAACCAGCCTTTCCTCTTCTCTCTCTCATCTACAGGTCAACAGGAGTCTATGGCACATGGTCAAACTCATTCCATATCTTCATTACTGCCTTTCCCCCACTTCCACTCACATGTAAACCAATGGGGTCACCAGCTAGCTTCCCTACTTGTCTGTTCCCTTTGAGTTTCAGTCTTAGAGGGTTTTGTTTTGTTTGTTTGTTTTCCTGAAGGGACTTATTACTTGCTTTGATGGTTCCCCAGGGAACAGCTTGCTTGTCTTGTAATAGTCAAACAGAGTGCCATTTTTGTTTTTTATTTTGTTTTGTTTTGTTTCCTGCTGGTCTTTATTTCAGGAAGTTATCTTGTTCCTCTAGCTGCTCTGGGCTGGTGTGCATGTCCTCACAAGTGAGAATGTCCCACCTCAGAAAGTTCTGGATGGGGCTCAAGATTCCATGTAAGGTCCTATACACTACAAGGGCTCTGCAAAAAGCCTGTCTGAAATGGTCTTAATGCAATAACATTTCTCTT